TACAGAAAAGCAGATGCAAGATGAGCACTATAAGAACAACAGACTCTCGACAAGACACTGAATGGCTAAGCTATCGCCGCTTCCTCTGATTTTGCAGTTGGACTCACGCCTACCCTCGCGCAGTGTGACTCGCGGTTCATGGCTCATTTTGGCTTACTGGATCTTTGCCCTCGTGGTGGCTGTGGTTCACGTACTGCCCATTATACCGAGACAGCAGCCGGCTCGAGGCTTTGCAATCTATAACAACATTCGCATTCAGAGTTCATTCCTCTTCCCGATGTTCCAGGTATGAGGGAGCACTTAGAACGTGTTAACTGCTGCATAGATTTATTTACCTACATTGTATGAACTCATCAAACAATAACTTTTGAAATGTACATGTATGGAACACAATAAATATACGTAAACGTTTCATAGATTATTTTGACAGTGTTCTTTTATCTGACATAATTTATTATTTATCATCATATATTCGTTATTCATATATGAAAATGACAATGAAATGAACCTTAACCACCCTCCGTACACAGGCTTCAGCTTTCTGCCTCGTCCTTCGCGTGAAGTACCAACAACTGCACCGCGAACTCGAGTCCTGCGTGGCCTCGGCGTCTCGTAGCGTGGCGCTGGAGGACCAAGGGACTGAGACCAAGAGCGTGACCTCCGCCCATGATGACCTGCGGGAAAAGCTCTTCGGCGAGGGAGAGCAAGACGGCGAAGAGCTCGAAGACGCCTCGAAGTGCCCACCCAGCTGCTTCGCCTTGGAGGAGCTCCGCCTCGTGCACCTTGCCCTCGCCCGCCTCACTTCGAGGCTGGCGAGGAGCTTCACGCCGCACCTCATGTACGTCATCCCGACCTACTTCATGCTCACTTGCGCCAGCTTCTTCGAGCTCTACAAGAGCATGGAGAACGGCAAGGAAGCCACCGTTCACGCCATCTACTCCGTCTTGCTCGTTCTGCACCCGACCGTTCTGGCAGTCGCCTTCTACCTGCTGAGGACCGAGGTACGGGAGGCGGGGTTTTGTGGCGCGGAGGAGGGAGTAAAGTCTGGCTCGGCATTTCAGATTTCTTTTTCGTAGTTATTAGAGAAAAATCTTGTTTAATTTCAAATATGTATTATATATCTTTAAATATATATGATATATATCTATATCTATATCTATATATATATATATATATGAATAGATATAGATGTGTGTGTGTATTCATATGTATTCATATGTGTTGATATATATTCATATGGCTATATGTATATATATATATATATATATATATATATATATATATATATACATATATATATATATATATATATATAATATATATATTATATATATATATATATATATATATATATATATATATATATATATATATATATATATATATATATATATATATATATATATATATATATATATATATATATATTATGTGTGTGTGTGTGTGTGTGTGTGTGTGTGTGTGTGTGTGTGTGTGTTTGTGTGTGTGTGTGTGCATGTATGTATACACATAAACATAAAGTTCAAATCTGCACACACTCCAACCACGTGCCGTCTCCTGCCAGCGGGACAGGACCTGGCGAGTGGTCCACGGCTTCCCCCTGAGCCACCTGCCCCGCCGCCTCCGTCAACAGCTGGTGTTTTTCTCATCCCAACTCCTCCACGCGGCGCCAGCTTTCTCGGTGGCGGGATTCGTGTCTGTGGACCCAAACTTCATTCTCGAGGTGATAACACTTGAGATAACATGATAAAAGCGTGACTGATTTAAGAACAAAGAGTGTTGAAGGGACTGATAGTTATAACAATGGTAAGAATGGCATGCAGTTCTACAAAACGGAAATAAATATTAAGTATATTTTTCCGTGATCTTGATTTTTTTCTTCTTCTGTGAATTCTAATTTTTCCTTTGGTCTTCTTAACAGATGATAGGCGTTGTGACAACATATCTCTCCATAATGATATCCTTTCGCTAAGTCCAACTCGCCGGAAGTCCTGAAGTGCTCCTTCGATGGAACTCAACTGCATGGAATTTTGTGTGGTTAGCCTTGCTACACAGTCTGTCTACTATACTGGATATTGTCCTTCATTCGGGTGACCTGAGCGTGCCGGAAAAGTCACATGCACCTATGCATACTTAAAACATGCATACACTTTTATTTTTTTGAGTGTGCACAAGCATATGCGTTCCTGTACGTGTATATGAATATTTCCTAATAAATACATACATTATTGAATATATATATATATATATATATATATATATATATATATATATATATATCACACACACACACACACACACACACACCACACACACACACACACACACACACACACACACACACACACACACACACACACACACACACACACACACACACATATATATATATATATATATGTATATATATATATATATATATATATATATATATATATATATATATATATATATATGACAATACATATGTATAAGTAAGCACATTTATTTGATATATGCA